AATTTTCCTACAATAATTGGTTAATACCTAATTAAAAGTGTAAGCAAATAAACTCACATTGATAACAGTTACAAGTATGGTAGCTTCTCATGAAAGCTACTTGCTCTTCTTGAGAGATGTGTCAAATTGAGGAAAAAATGTAAATAAAGTAATCATTTCATTAAGGGTAAAATAGACAATTTGGGTTCAAATTTGGCCATTTTTGCAAGAAATGTAAGAAATTGACATTTTTCAATTCACACCCATAAAATTGGCCATTTTTGAAAATATCCCTTTTCAATATTCAATTTCAAATTTCAGCTATTAGGTTTTACTTTTCAAAAATCAGATATTTTATTTTTAAATGTTAAATATTAATTATACAATTTTCATTCTAAACTCTAATCAATTTCATTCCAAACTGGCAAATATTTTCCTTCTCTTCTCTCGCCTATCCGTCTTCTCACTATCTCTTCTCTCTGTTACCACCAGAGGTGACATAGCAAACGACATCGCCGCAACCGTAGCAGCGAGAGACGGCGTCATCCCCTATATTCTCTCTCCTCATTCTCTTTTCTTTGTCGCGGCGCAACAAAAACACGGAGCAGCAACACCGCTGAATGCTTGCGGTGGTGTCGCGGTGGTGTGTGTTGTGATGATGCTAGTGGTGGTGGTGGTGGTGCGGTTGGTGGTTGGGTGCAATGGGGATGTTTTTGGAGTTTTGGGTTTCTTCCTCCGATATGCTTCGACAGAGCTTTGGGGGTGCTCGTCGGTGTTGTTTGTGGTTTTGAGTGGTAGCACTGCCGACGAAGTGTTGGAAGTTGTTGGCGGTGGTGAGTTTGTTGTTCCTGTGGCGATGACTGTTCCTGTTCCTGTGGCGGCGATGAAGATCATATATGGTGGGCGTTGTGGTGATGGCGTTTGTGGATCCGATTTGTTGGGTTTTTTTGGGCGATTGTGGTGGTGATTTTCTTGGATCTTGTTGGTGGCCGTGGTGGTGGTTTGTTGCTGGTGAGGTAGCGATGATGATTGCGAATTTGGTATTGTTTGGGCGACGATTTTGTTGCTTGCGATTTGGAGTTTATGCGACAATATTGGATAATGTTGGTGGTTGGGTGGTGATTTTATTGATTTTTGGGAGGCGATCTGGTGTTTGGGCGACGGTGTTAGATCTTGTTGGTGCGGTGGTAACGGTGGTTTTGTTGGTGGTTGTGCTGACGAGGTGGTGTTGTTGGTGGATTTGAAGTTGAAAATTTGTTGGAGGTGATCGGCGGCGATGATGGTATGGTTGGGGATTTTATTTTTTTTGTTGTGGGGGTGGTGGTGGTGGTTCCTGCAACAAGGGTTCAGTTGTCATGTTGTTGGTGGCAGTGGTGAGGTAATGGTACAAATGTTGGTTGTGGTCACATATTATTTGGTCGTTTGTGACCATTAAATTTATTAATTTGTGACCGATAAACAATATATGACCAATGAAAAATATAAATTGTGGCCAAGAAATAAAGTGTGATTTAAAAAATTGTTAATTTGTGACCGATAATTTGACAATTTGTGACTATCTACTAAGTTGTGACTTATAATATTTGTGATCTATGACCGATGAATAAATTGTGATGTATAAATTCTTTTATTTATGATCGATGAATAAATTGTGACTTATAAAATTTCTGAATTGTAACCGTAAAATAATTTGTGACCTATAAGATTTTTGATTTGTGACTGATGAACAAATTGTAACGTATAAAATTTTTGATTTGTGGCCGATGAACAAATTGTGATCTATAAAATTTTTGAATTGTGATCGTAAAATAATTTGTGACATGCAAAATTTGTGATTTGTGATCAATTAATAATATGTGACCAATTATATAGAAATTGTGACCAAATTATATGGAATTGTGACATTAATATATTTAATTAATAAAATATATATTTAACTAATTAATTTATAAAAAAAATTTAAAAAATCTAAATTTTTAAATTTTTGAACCTTATCTCTTAAATTTGAAATGGGTGAAACTGTTATGAAATTTTCCCTTTATCTATTTTCAATGGTCCAAAAATTATGTTGTCCAATAAACCAGGCCCAATTCTTACTTGGCCATGTTTGACGACCATTAAAATAATTTTTTTAGGAAAAATAAATTTTGAAATAATGATTTTTTTGGAGAACGTGTGATTAAAAAATAGATTTTTTTATTTACGTGCAAGATATTTTATTACAAGAATGTGTGATTAAAAATGAATTTAAAAAAAAAATTATTTTAATGATTATCAAGTAGAAGCTTTTTAAAGTTACACAACTAAACTATAATATAAATAGATGCTGAGCACCACCATGGGCTATGGCCACCTCCACACTCGTCGTCAGATCAACACCGCCATCGATATCAAATTTGTACATCCTCCATTAGATCTAGACTACCACCTACTGCCTATATCCATCGTTGCTGTAACAACCATACTTTGAATTTAGATTTACAGCGTTTGGCCTCCATTTTTCCCCGTTAAATTATAATTCATTTTTCCCCCTCTTATCATGTGTTGCCATTGTTCTTCGGCGTGAACTTATTTCTTCATAATCCCAAGGTTATTGTCACATTTTTCACAAATTTCTCATAAGAAAATAAGAAATTTATAACTTTTATATTAAATCCATCAAAACCTAAAAACCTTTCATAAAAATCATTGTTCTTTCTCAACTATTTCTCATTCTTTCACTTTTTAAACATTTGACAAGTTAAAACTTATTCGCCTCTTGTTAACTCCACAGTCTCCAAGTACGAAAGAAATAGAAAGTTTTAATCTCAAGACTCAATTGAGGAAATATTCTTTCCTAACACTAAAACTTAAGTTGATCAAGAGTGTCCCTACCTGTCCTAATACAACGGCATGTGAACAGGTAGGAGAGACAGGCCAACCTGCACATGCATTTTGTCACAAACACAAACTCAGACCAGACCAAACATCAAACGTGTGTATTTGTATGCCAAATAACTTCCATTTATGGCTGTTGCATTTTTTCCCTCTCTTGTGCTGGTTTTTCTTTATAAGCCTGACAATGGCTTTTTGTCAACTTAATGATGTTTTAAACCAAGAATTTGCACTAATTACTATTAACATTTTATATTATAGTAAAGAATCTTACAACTTGAGCTCATTATTGATGATGAGCAGACAATGATAAACAACCACTTCATTTATTCAGTTGGTGGGGACTGTGATTGGAAACCAAACACAGGTCACAACAAGAATCTTATTAAAGCCATGTTAAAATTTTCATTCTCATTCTTCTATACATTTTCAACCACACATTTTTCAATAAAATAATATTTTCCATCATATCAATAATTTTTCCTTCTTTTTCAACCGCACATTCTCCATCACTCTACTATTCCAAAATATATTCTTCTAAAATAATGTGGCTCAAACAAACTTTGATAAATTAGATGTTAAATTGCTTTCTTTTACTTTGTAATAAGTGCTTTCAGATTTTACCATGTTTATCGAGCACGAAACTCCATGTTTGCCACTGATTTTTAACGATATTTCATCTATATACATGCAAAACTTTGCAATTAATTGGAATCACAAGTGGAAATTTGACAGATTGGCATTTTCTATCAGAAAAAAACTA